CTTTAGGAATTGAGGTTTGCTGTTGTCCCAATGGGCACAAAGGCATGACCACAGAACTCGATAGAAGCTGGTTAGATTTTCCACCCACCCACCCAGAATCTGCACGGTCACTGTGCGTTTATTCTGAAGGGGCGAGTGTTCCTGGCTGCTGATGGGTACACAAAAGAACCCAGAGGTCATCTTGGGCTCATCCTCTTAGCAAAGCCACGTAATTAACTCCACAGAGAAAATAAAATAAAATCCTGACAACACTTCACTGGAGGAAACCGAACAAAACCAGTGTGTAATTGGAGGAGGAGAAAGGGACAGAGAGGTTTTGTCTTTCTGATTTCAGGCCTTGTACACAACAGACATCCAGCTAAATCCTAACCCCCAGATCTGCTGGCTGCAGGGGTTTTAGGGCTGGGTGGAGACATTTTTCCACCATTAGAGAGGAGCTCTTGCTGGCAGGATCGGAGGCTACAGTTACAGCCGTGGAAACCTCCATCGGCATCAGCCGACCACCAGCAGAGTTTCAGTAGGGGCAGAGGCAGATTTGTATCTCCCCAATCCAAAGCCTCTTTGCCACTGGGTTCCCGACAGAGGCCTGAGTATTATGCTCCTCCCCAACCACACCAGCCTTCGTGGCTCAGGGGCATACGGTGCTTTGCCCATGTTTGACCATATGACTGCTTAAATCTGCAGAACTGGCACCGTTACAGGTGACAAGTAATGCCTATTCTTCATTTGCAATAAATTGATCTGTTAGTATAGCAGCACCTAAACTTTGGTACTCCCTACCTATTGCTACCAGGCAGGCGCTTCACTGTACAGTGGTACCTCAGGTTAAGTACTTAATTTGTTCCAGAGGTCCTTTCTTAATCTGAAACTGTTCTTAACCTGAAGCACCACTTTAGCTAATGGGGCCTCCTGCTGCTGCCGCGCCGCCGGAGCACCATTTCTGTTCTTATCCTGAAGCAAAGTTCTTAACCCAAGGTACTATTTCTGGGTTAGTGGAGTCTGTAACCTGAAGCGTATGTAACCCGAGATACCACTGTACTCTTTTTGGTACCTCCCCCAAACATTTATGTTTAGATAAACCTTCCCAGATACCTAGAATGCTGGTGTGGCTTTTTGGCTTATTGCTGGCTTTTTGTTTTTGCTTTGTAATGTTTCAAACACTTGTTTTCATTGTTTCTCCCCAAAATGTTATTGTTTGATTCCTTCTGTAAACCACTGTGAGGGTTGTTTTTTTTTAAATACAATCAAGCGGTATATGATTTTTTTAATGGAATAAAATAAAAAGCTTAGCACTCATTCCCATATTATTTGCAAACAGATTATTTCTGGATTCAAGTAACACAAAACTGAGTGCTGAACTTCCACCATTTCCCACTATAGTTACAGGAGTGCCTTTTAACCGTTGTCTGAAGACTCGGATATAACGTGGAACTCAACAGTGAGGGGAAAGTCATGAAAACAGAACAAACTGCCTTTAAATGCAGTCTGACTTAGTTCCGTTAATTTCAGTGGGTCTGCTCTGATGAGAAGCTCGTTTGGATGGGACCCATAGTTTGGGTTTTTTGGAATCTGTGTGGTTCACAGCTCTGGGTTTATTTATTTTTTTACAATCCAAGTTGCTGCTTTGAAAGAGTGCCTGGACTCACAAACATTCTGTGCATTTGTCTCTAGAGGGAACTTAGCATGACTGGAATCAATTCTTTTGCCTTTATTTTATGTTTGATAGGCGGGGATGGGGGCGGTGAGCTTTTTTGTGTGCTGACAAGGTCCACCTTGAAAAAGAGACTTGCGTAGTCAGACAGAAGCTGTTTCTTGACTAAGTTGGTGCCACAATGAAATCAAGCTGGGGCTCCCGGTCTTCCTCCCCGCACCTCTTTCCCCCCCCCATCAGTGTAACTTTAGCCCTGGCTTCTAGCAACTGGGGTGGGTGGTATGTATTAAAATGCAATTCTGTGTTATTGGTTTGATTCTTCCTCCTTGACATGTGTCATTTATAATTCCCCATCCTGTATCAACGGGGCTGCCAACCCCCCGTCTTGTTTCACATGTGCATATGGCCTGCGTGCCTTGCCAGAGAATGACTTCTGCTTCTTATTACTTGTCCCGAGCTGGAATGTACGCCGTATGGCAAATGCAAACAGAGCGCTTTGCAGTCGACATGTACAGTTGGAAAAGCTATAAGGTTCAAACGGGGTTATTAGCTTGTGGGGGGCAGGGAAGGGTATTCTTCTTCTTACATGCAACCTGTATTTTGGGACGGTCAAAGAGAATTGAGTGGACGAGTTAGTTGGGAAAACATACCCTAACAGGGACACGGGTGGCGCTGTGGGTTACACCACAGAGCCTAGGACTTGCCGATCAGAAGGCTGGCGGTTTGAATCCCTGCGAAGGGGTGAGCTCCCGTTGCTCGGTCCCTGCTCCTGCCAACCTAGCAGTTCAAAAGCATGAAGTATAAGTAGATAAATAGGTACCACTCTGGCGGGAAGGTAAACGGCGTTTCCGTGCGCTGCTCTGGTTCGCCAGAAGCGGCTTAGTCATGCTGGCCACGTGACCCGGAAGCTGTATGCCGGCTCCCTCGACCAATAAAGTGAGATGAGTGCTGCAACCCCAGAGTCGGCCACGACTGGACCTAATGGTCAGGGGTCCCTTTACCTTTACCTTTACCCTAACACTCCCATTGTCCTCAGGCTGATTAAAAAGCAAAACACAAGGCATGTATGCAGTGAAGAATTTAACATCATTTTACAAGCTTCTTTTCCTCATGAGTGCGGAGAACAACTTCCTGCCAGTTTTATATATATACTTTTATCCAGCTTACCTTTTTAATCATTTTGATTGTCAGTCATACTTGTATTTCTTTCATTTTAATAAATTATTTTTTACAAAGTTTGCACTCAATGTTAGTCCTACTCAGATCATTGAAATTAATGGATATGACTAGCTCGGGGCCATTAATTTAAACAAGTCTACTTTGAGTGAAACGGAACCCCAGGGTAGTTCAATGTAACTGACAATTGCCTATGACATTAATTCTATACTTCTCTTGATACAGTCTAGAATTGCATTCGCCTCTGTTGCTGCTGCATTATATATATTCCAGTGTATTTGATGGATTGAATGGTGGGAGCTGAAAGCAAAATTATTTAGGGGAGGGGAGGGAAAGCAAGCCCAGCACATGGGTAATTAATTTGCACACATTCCTCAAAGTCCAGCAATCACATTTTGGTGGTGCAGGGTTTTGAATTGGGTACAGGGTTTGTGTGTGGAGAGAGAGTTATTGGTGGTTGGGAATGGGCCTATGCTAGCCATGGTCCTTCATTTTGATGGGTCTGCTCTGAGTACAACTAACATCGTACTCTGTAGCTGAGTGTGCATGACCCTAAACCCAGAGGTGGGAGCCAGAGACTCTCCAGATGTTGCTGACTCCAAGTCCCATCAGCCCTAGCCATCATGGTCAGGAGGGATGATGGAAGCTGGAGTAACTACAATAACAACTGCAGAGGGGAATGGGACTTTGTGCTGACCATGAGGCAATGAGTTTTTTCCCCACCTGCCTTGCCCCAACCTCCAGCCATAGAAGTTTCTGAAGCCTTCAGAATGGAGTTGCTGTCATGGGCATTATGTGTATGTGTCTTCGGATGAGTTGAGTGGAAGATTATGAGTCATGGGGGTTGGAAGAGAGTGTGTGTGCATTCAGCAGTGCTTAGTTAATGATAATAATAATAATAATAATAATACAATTTATTATTTATACCCCACCCATCTGGCTGGGTTTCCCCAGCCACTCTGGGCGGCTTCCAACCAAATATTAAAAACAATACAGCATCAAACTTTAAAAACTTCCCTAAACAGGGCCCTTTTCAGTTGTCTTTTAAAAGTAAAATAGTTGCTTATTGTTTTTGGTTGTTAGTTTGCTAATGCTGTTAATATTCTTTTGTGGATTACGAATTCTGTAGTGTTTTGCGTGTCGAGGTCCCCAAGCCACCCCCCAAATAACTCACAACGCACACTTAATTTTTGTTTAAGGTTTTTGGCATAATTTTGGCCACAACTTTATTTAAATACAAAACCGTGAGTGGTTGTTTAGGCATTGGTTAAGACTATCTGTCCCCCCGCCTGGGGACAGAACTGACTTCCGGGCACCACCGAAAGACAGTGCGGGAAAACAAGTCGGGGAGAAATGGAGCTGAGTCACAGACCCTCAATTCTCATCTGCATGCTCCCCGAAGGCTTGCCGGCCCTAGTCCCATTCCAGGGATTGGACGAAAAGATGGCAAGCCCCAGGATTCCTTTAACGGAATTCCCTTTCCGCAGCAACCATGGAGGGGCAGGCCCAGCCTATCCTAACCCCTCCTCCACCAATTTATAACCAATGCCTAACCGCAACCTTACAAGTTGTGACAATTTGCTACGCAGTAGGCAAAAACCAAATGGCCCAGCCAATCAGCCAGATGGACAAAATTCCTACCAGGCCCCTGCCCCAATGGCAGACGACCCCATGACAGGCATAGCAAGGTCAATGCAACAACCCCTTACTCAAGGGCGGGTGATCCGTTGCACGCGGCAAAGAGAAAGCTCCAGGCTGCGTGCAGAGTATTTAAACATTTTACCCCTCCCACCAAAATTGCAGCATAACTTTTACCCCAGCAACCCAGTGAACCAATCACTGCCCCAGGCCATCTTTAGAGACCCTGCCTGGTAACAGAGGGGTGGCTCAGCAGACCCCACCGCAACACGTGCTCTCCATGAAGGAGAACACGCTTTGTGAGTCTTAGAATATGACTTTTTGTTGTGGTTGCGCTGTTTAGCGTTTTATAGAAGGTGGTTGTTTTACTGGTGATTTGTTTTGCTGATTATTTGTTAATTGTTCTTCGTGATTTATGTTGAAATCTCGAGGTTTTATTATGTTATCATTGTTTATTGTTTGTGTGCCGATTTGTGTGAGGGAAAAGCGGCGTAGAAATATATTAAATGAAACAAGAAGAGAAGAGCCACAACTGGATAGCTCAGTTGGCTAGAGCATAGTGCTGATAACCCCAAGGTCGCAGGTTCAATCCCCCTGTGGGACAGCTGTCTATTCCTACATTGCAGGACTAGGTGATTCTCGGGTGCCTTTTGACCCTACAATTCTATGACTCTAAGTTCCCCATGCCTGACCTAAGCAGTGTGTTGTACTCAACATTAGGCCTACTCATTGTAAGTAAGGGGCATGATGGCCAAATGCTGCTCTCTCTAGCATTTAGAACAAGTGCTGTGTTAATGACTGCTCCCCACATCATATGGGGAGCGCCTTTTGTGTGGTCACGTGCAGCCCCCACAATCCCATGTGGCTTTCGGCAGTACAGCCTTGATTTGCGCCTGCCCCCCCCCCCCAGGCTGGACACCTGGAGGTGGCCGCCTACCTCTGCCAGTTACCCAATCCCAGCTGGGGAGGTGTTGCCAGGACAGAGTTGGCCAGGTAAGGGGAGGGATCGACCTGCCCACACAATAGTGGGCGGAACTTACCTGGGAGTTCTCAGTGAGCTTCAGAGCTTCTCCCACCCTGCCCTCCCTCAGTTAAGCCTTCTTTCGCAAGTTAACCTCTTCTTCACAGGTACATGGGCACTGCTACGTTATGGTCGCTGTTGAAGGGCCGGAAAGGAATTTTCCTGCACTGGCAGTTTTTGCCTTCCCCGTAGCAAAACGTCACAACTTTGGCGGTTTCAGGCCTTGGGCGGAATCCTTTAGTCTATCTTCCCTAAATGGGGTGTGTGTGAAGCGGTGACCCATGCCCCCTCCTACGGCAATGATCTCAGGGTTCCCTGTTAAAGGGGTTGTTTTGAGGGGAGGCATTGGCCATATGCCAATTGGTTGTTATTGCTCTCCCCTGTGACGGCGGCGAAATGGGGGGCAGGCTCTCTGCTTGAACAGATGTTCTCTAGAGCCAGCCCAATCCCCACACATTCTGGATAACCCTGAAGTCTCCCAGATCCCTGGCCGGGGACTGGGAGGGATAAATGCCCAACGCCTAAGCCAAGGTCTCCCTACACCTGAAGTTTAAATTAAGTTGTGGCCAAAATTTTAATCCCACAACACGTTGTCTTGAGTCATTATTCCACCTGGATGTCGGCCAAGGTTGGGGGGTCTCCACCTGTCCACGCAAAACCCATTCGTCACTATATATAAATGCCTCCCCCTGCAAATCACTCCTGCTTTCACAGAGTGCTTTAACATTTCTTTTCGGTTTTCGCTAGTGTGGGGTTGAGCTTACCTTACCATAGTGAGATGGCAGACTGGGGCAGAGGCAGGGAGGGTGTTTATTTGTCACAGTTCAGGGAGAGGGCTGCTGGATCAGGTCCTTCTGCTGAGTGCTTTATGCTGGAGTAGATCACATCCTCCAAGTGTCCCTATTTTCCGGGAACAGCCCCGCATTTACAGAAGCTGTCCTGGTTTTGGTTTCGACCCCAGAATGTCCCACTTTGGAGAGGATGTCTCTATTTTCATCAGAGAAATGTTGGAGGGTATGCTAGATGGGCCATTGGATTGGTCTTCTTATGTTCTTAGGGGAAGCTGGGAAGCCTGGCTGCAAAGTTCCTGAGATCAGTTTGTTTACTTTTGCTTTATTGCTTTCCCTTCCCTTTTGGCATTCAATGCTCTGTATTAATAAAGGGGGGGGGGAGCAACTACCAGGCACAAAGTAGGCAGCCTCTCCACTTCCCTCTCCACCTCCCCCCACTTAAAGGGTAGCCCACCTCATGTGGATTTTGGGAAGTGGGATTAATGTGCAAGCCTGCAGAATGCCAGAGAAAATGATTTTTGTAGAATGAAGGGACATTCAAGATTCCCCCTCCCCCTGACCACCTTGTAAGTAAGTAAGCAAAACAAAAAAACCACATCCCATACATGAAAATCTCACTGAAATTTCCTCCTCCCTTGATATTTTTTTGAATGTAATTTCTTTTCTCATTAACTGATGGAAAACGCGTCAGGGGGAAAATATGCGAAGGTAATTTTTGGCAGAGCGCTACTGGAAACAGTTCTATAAAACCCTCAACCAGTTTCCTGAGTGGGGTAGAATATAATTTAGCAATGTTGCCAAAATGAATAATTTTTTTGGTCAAAATATGGATATGCTCAGGTCGTAATGCTCTGAGGTATTGAGAACTGGGCACTGTACCCTAGAGAAGTCCTTCTCCGACTTAGGATTTAAAATGAAATTCTGCAGAGACACAGAATGCCCTTTTAGCTGAAGAAGGTGGTCTTGTTTGCCCAAAGCCCAGGCAGTTGTAGCTCTGCCCTGATTTTCCAAAGAGTGCTTTTCAAGATTACTGGGAACTGTAGGAGCCCTTCAGAACAAAAATGATGTAGAGGGAACAGGAAATCCCCTTGACCCAAATGAGCTATGACAGATCCTGTTTACATACAGAGAAGTTGGCCTTGCTATAATTTATGAAGGAGCATTATAAAGCTGTATACAACTATACATGTTGGGTATGGAAGCTGATAGGGAGATGTTTTTCCCCTCTTCTATCATAATATTGAACTTGTGGAAATCCAACAAATCTGATTGTTGGGAGATAGAAGACAGGCAAAAGGATGTACTTCTTCATGCAGGGCCTAGTTAAACTGTGGAACTCACTCCCACAAGATGCCATGAAGGCAACCAGCCTGGAGAGCTTTAGAAGGCTGGACAAATTCACGGAGGTGAGGCTGCCAGTGATGGCTGTCTTCTCTCTCCACTGTCAGAGGCAGTATGCCTCCGGGTACCAGTTGCTGGAAACCACAGGAGAGGAGAATGCTCTTGTGCTCGGATCCTGCTTGCAGGTTTCTAATAATAATAATAATAATAATAATAATAATAATAATAATAATAATTAATAATTTTTATTTATATCCCACCCTCCCCAGCCAAAGCTCAGAGCGGCTAACAACAATAAAAGTAACACAACATTCTAAAATCAATTCATTTTAAAATCAGTTCAAAATCAAATTAATGGCAACCATTGGGCTAGAGTTCTGTGAGGATTACTAAAGGAGGGGGTCAGACTGTGCCTTGGCCAAAGGCCTGGTGGAACAGCTCCATCTTGCAGGCCCTGTGGAAAGATGTCAGGTTCCGCAGGGCCCTAGTCTCTTGTGACAGAGTGTTCCACCAGATCGGGGCCACAGCCGAAAAAGTCCTGGATCTGGATGAGGCCAGCCTAACCTCCCTGTGGCCCGGGATCTCCAAGATGTTTTTGTTTGAAGACGGTAAGGTCCTCCGTGGGACATACCAAGAGAGGCGGTCCTGTAGGTACGAGGGTCCTAGGCTGTATAGGGCTTTAAAGGTTAAAACCAGCACCTTAAACCTGATAGGCACCTGCTTGACCACTGTGAGAACAGGATTCTGGACTAGATAGCCTTTGCCATGATCCAGCAGCCTGGCTCTTTTAATGTTCTTATTCATGATACTCTCCTTGGATGGATGGCTTTAAAAGGCCAATTCATGGAGGAGAAGGTTTCTGGTGGTTACTAACAGCATTCGAAATTCGCCAGGCGGATTTTGCACCTGGCTTTCAGCCACGTGCAACCAAGTGAAGACACCTGGGTGCCAGGATGGCACCTGACATCTCCACCATCTGGAGGTGCATGCCTCGGGGTCTTTGGATCTTGGCCGCTTTCGCACCCTATCAACACATTCTGTTCAATTCTCATTATTATGTTTTCACTGCGCAGTCAGAATGAATTTCAGGAACCAAAAAGTCATGCTGGAAAAAATAGGACCGTCTAGCCCCAAAATGGCAACTGGTTTAAGGAGCCATTTGGTGCCTAGCTTATAGATTGAGTTTCTGACACTGGTTACTAAGCACAATGGCTGTGTTCCCCCTCCGCTTCAGCTCTTCCAACATCGAATCTGTAAGTGTTCCTTCTGGGTTGAGCAGAGTGGAGCCTGAAATGTGAATGAGGAGAGTGTAGTGGCATCAAACCATTCACAAGTTGCTCCTGGGTTGACCAAACTGGACTATTAGCTGCTGGATAGATAGATAGAACCTTGCCAACAAAGGTCCGTATAGTTAAAGCTATGGTTCTCCCAGTAGTGATGTATGGAAGTGAGAGCTGGACCATAAAGAAGGCTGATCGCCGAAGAATTGATGCTTTTGAATTATGGTGTTGGAGGAGACTCCTGAGGGTCCCATGGACTGCAAGAAGATCAAACGTATCCATTCTTAAGGAAATCAGCCCTGAGTGCTCACTGGAAGGACAGATCCTGAAGCTGAGACTCCAGTACTTTGCCCACCTCATGAGAAGACAAGACTCTTTGGAAAAGACCCTGATGTTGGGAAAGATGGAGGGCATAAGGAGAAGGGGACAACAGAGGACGAGATGGTTGGACAGTGTTCTCGAAGCTACCAGCATGAGTTTGACCAAACTGCGGGAGGCAGTGGAAGACAGGAGTGCCTGGCGTGATCTGGTCCATGGGGTCACAAAGAGTTGGACACGACTAAACAACAAGTTTTATACAGACCCTCCCCCCCAAAAAAACCACCACTCTCCATCTAGGCAGTCTCTCCATCTAGGGAAAAGGATGTACTCTCATTTCAAGAATACATTCCAGACAGGCAAAAAAAATCCAAGGAGGGCTAGAATCAGGGCTTGGGAGGGAGCATCCCAAGGGCCTGATGGAGTGGAGGGCTGCATTTGCCCACCTTCCCTCCCCGCCAGGGCCTGAGGTTCCTCATCCCCAATATAACATCTCAAAAGGTGTCTGCTTTCCAGTGCGCTGCTCTTCCAGGATCATCTGTGATCCCCAAATAGCCTCCAGGAGCTGCAGAAGAAAACTTGGCTTAGCGTGCAAGAGGGAAAAGCCACAAATATGTCCTAATTTTACTGTAAACGATTCCCCCAGCAAAAAAACAAAACACGGCCTGAAATAGCAATGTGTGACCTTTCCTGATACAGAGAACAATTTGAATTGGTCTTTTGCATTCAGGCATAGACACACAAGCCCCGGATTAACCAGGCAACCCATTTGGGGACCCAAAGCCACTGAGTCGGGTCAAAATGTTTGTTGAGCAATGCATAAGGGCTGTTGGAACAGGAGCTGGAAAAGTGG